TTTACTCTAGAGAAGCCGAAATGGAGAAAGCCTCTCTACCGCAAGCCGAAGATGAAGTTCAGCCGATGATCGACGAATCAGGTCAAGCTGCCCCATCTTCGCCGCCCATACCAGACGACGACCACGAGGCCTTGACACGCTTTGCGGCGGAGCACGACTCCTCATCGGAGTCAGATCAGCCCAAGGAGGCGGAGCCTTCAGAGCCTACAGCCTTCAGCCTTTCCAGGAACGGACCGTGGGGATGCATACATGCCTGCCTGGAAGCCTCAAACAAAGCAGCGTGTGGAGCAGCTCGCTCGGCGGCAGCCTTTAGCCCCACGGATCCGGATCCCACGTTTTTCTGCCGCAGAAAGGCATGCGCGAAGCTCCTGGACTCGTGGGAGTGATAAAAGTCAGATGGGAGCAGCCTCTTGTAGCATAGCAGTCGCCCTGAGCCAACACAGAGGGGTCCGATCGCCTGCTCAGCCATCTTTTCAAGGTAGCCGCCGACCCCCCGACAGCCATGTCCAACGCTCCAACATCGGATCTGGCCAAGTTCCTTAAGGACAATGCCGTCCATGAAGTTCCCGCGCAAGCCCTGGCCCTCAAAGGACTGGAGACGGTAGAGGACCTGGCATATGCATACCCCGATTTGGCCAGCCTTGATAGCCTCCTTTCCAGCCTCTCGGACGAAGACATGAACGAAATGGGAGCAGCCGATGCCTTACATGGAGTTCAGGCAGCCAGGCTCCGGCGAGCTCTTCGGGCAGCCCATGGACTATCTCATCAAGCTCAACAGCCCTCGCCCACGCCTGCTCCGGAACCTCTGCCTTCTGTCCAAGCCGCTCTGCTGCCGCAGGCCTCGCCTACGTCTTGGATGGAAAACCTGCCTCCGAAACTCAGCTCCGAAGCCGTCCAAGACCTCGTCAGTGACTTCAAGCTCAATTACCCGGGGGAGCTCCTCGATGATGATACTATGCCCAGTATTCGCCTACTTAGCCTCGTTCAGCATAGCCTTAAGCCGGGCGAGAAGCTACGCTGGATCCCCTG